CTATAGCCTTGCAGATGTGTCTGGCTTCCGTCGGCGCTGTACGAATTTCAATGAAATTGTAGTGATACTAGAATGTTACAGCAATCGAATAGACAAAATATGTAGTCCTCAACAACCCAACTTCAAGTGTGGGAGAGCCATGCTTCGGCACGAATGGGCCGGCTCGACCGGAGTGAAGTAACGCTTGCGTTGTGTTTCGTCGTGTGAGTGAGGTTACCGGAGGCCCAATTTCCCTCCCCTTCCCCAATCTCCCCAATTCCTGAATCCCCAACGATCCTCAAACTCCTAATCCCCATTGGTGTTCCAGGTGTCAATGGGCGACTCCGATTGCTTACCATCAGGTGATCCGTCTGTTCGATTACCGGCTTATGCCATAAAAAAAAAAACCATGGAAAGTTTTTTCATTTTGAAGCTAAAGTAAGAAATTATGCGAAAAGAAGATACAAAATGCGTCTTATCCTCCATCTCAATAAATGTTGTCATGGTTCGGGTCGGATATTATACATAAACATATATTTGTATAATTACCTTCATTTTGTTCCAACACCGGTGGTTCTTCCTCACTGGACGACGATTTCTTTTCTGCAATAAAAAAAGTTTAATTTAGTGCTTATACCCTACAATAGAAAGTGTTTTATTGCTTGGCTTACCAGCTTTGGGTGTCTTTGTTAGTCTTGCGGAACTCTCATCCAGATTCAAATCGAGGCAATATGATGATGACGAGGCACTCTCCAATCTTGTTGACTCCTCAGCTGTTAAAATATACCATATTATCTTATACCTAATACTATTATTAAAGCTAAAGAGTTTGTTAGTTTCTTTGTTTATTTGTTTGTTTGTTTGTACGAGCTAATCTACGAAACTACTGGTCCGATTTGAATAACTCTTTTTGTGCTGGATAGCGCATTTATCGAGGAAGGTTATATAGGTTATAAAACATCACGCTGGAATAAATAGGAGCTAAGCAGAGTAAGTCAAAGCGCGCGGTAGTAGCTAGTTTTGTGTGCAACCATATGAGCGAACCGTGTGGTCTTGTCCCGAATGGCCAGCAACACACACACACACACACCCTCACACACACACACACAGCGCTGATCACTTACCATCAGGTGAACCGTCTGCTCGTTTTCCGCCTGTGCCATAAAAATATCTAAATTACTTTGTACATTATTTTATGTATAACAACAATATTTAATGGATATACGTACGTGAATTTTCTTCATCGGTAGGCCGTAGTGGTAAAACTGCGGGCTTATAGAGCGCGTAGTCAACGAACTGGGGTAGTTCCGTCATACACTCCATGTAACCGGCACAGAGTAGATTTTGACAGAATAGTGTAGCTTGGGCCCTGGACGAAATATTGGTATCAGTAAGTATGATGTAACTTCACAATGTAATTCTGTAATGAAACACTCACCTCGTCTTGTTACTGGTGTTGTCCATGACCCATTGAAGGATGTCACAGCCACGCCATACTCCGTTGTAGCGAACAAGACGATACCTGCAAAATATTAGTGTTAACTTGTCGGGAAACGAGTACGTTATGGGCTGCGTGGGCAGTACATAGTGAGGTGTAGTACATATGTCACTGTGTTGCTGCGTGGCAGTACATAGTGAGGTGTAGTACATGTGTCACTGTGTTGCTGCGTGGCAGTGTATAGTGAGGTGTAGTACATGTGTCACTGTGTTGCTGCGTGGCAGTGTATAGTGAGGTGTATACATGTGTCACTGTGTTGCTGCGTGGCAGTGTATAGTGAGGTGTATACATGTGTCACTGTGTTGCTGCGTGGCAGTGTATAGTGAGGTGTAGTACATGTGTCACTGTGTTGCTGCGTGGCAGTGTATAGTGAGGTGTAGTACATGTGTCACTGTGTTGCTGCGTGGCAGTGTATAGTGAGGTGTAGTACATGTGTCACTGTGTTGCTGCGTGGCAGTGTATAGTGAGGTGTAGTACATGTGTCACTGTGTTGCTGCGTGGCAGTGTATAGTGAGGTGTAGTACATGTGTCACTGTGTTGCTGCGTGGCAGTGTATAGTGAGGTGTAGTACATGTGTCACTGTGTTGCTGCGTGGCAGTGTATAGTGAGGTGTAGTACATGTGTCACTGTGTTGCTGCGTGGCAGTGTATAGTGAGGTGTATACATGTGTCACTGTGTTGCTGCGTGGCAGTGTATAGTGAGGTGTAGTACATGTGTCACTGTGTTGCTGCGTGGCAGTGTATAGTGAGGTGTATACATGTGTCACTGTGTTGCTGCGTGGCAGTGTATAGTGAGGTGTAGTACATGTGTCACTGTGTTGCTGCGTGGCAGTGTATAGTGAGGTGTAGTACATGTGTCACTGTGTTGCTGCGTGGCAGTGTCTAGTGAGGTGTAGTGCATGTGTCACTGTGTTGCTGCGTGGCAGTGTCTAGTGAGGTGTAGTGCATGTGTCACTGTGTTGCTGCGTGGCAGTGTATAGTGAGGTGTATACATGTGTCACTGTGTTGCTGCGTGGCAGTGTATAGTGAGGTGTAGTACATGTGTCACTGTGTTGCTGCGTGGCAGTGTATAGTGAGGTGTAGTACATGTGTCACTGTGTTGCTGCGTGGCAGTGTCTAGTGAGGTGTAGTGCATGTGTCACTGTGTTGCTGCGTGGCAGTGTCTAGTGAGGTGTAGTGCATGTGTCACCTGTGTTGCTGCGTGGGCAGGGAGTACATGAGATGCCTGTAGACGTCGTGTAGTGCCTCGTGTTGTTGTCGTGGCTCGCAGCGCTCCTCCTGCTCGCGGGGGAACATGAAGCTGTCGCGCAATTTGTGAGCTTGCTGTGACTTGTTCTCTGGGAACTTCACCTGTTATTTTACGAAGTGTTGTTTTAGAGAATTGATTGACTAAAAGTTTATACTTCTACAAAAATACACAATAAGAAATTGTCACTACTGATACATACCTGTAAGTTCTCCTGCAGAGTCCTGAGATCAGGTGGTATCTCACCAGTCATGTCATTTTCCTTCAGATAACTTAGTACTACATTGCAACAATAGTTGCAAACCCGTAGCCCACCAGCACAACCAAATATGTGCCCTGTTAATGTAGAACAAAGTTCATATTAACACCATACAGAAAGGTATTTGAAACAGTTTCATATAACTTTATGTAACTATAAAATAATTTCCATTACCTGGCACTCTTTGGCTGCAGCATCTAGAACAGAATATTTGTCCACACACTCTACAGTGATGTCTACGTCGTAGTGTACTAAATCTAGAGGCACATTCGTAACATTCACGTGAAATATCATCTGGCATCCAATAGCGGGCCAGTTCCGTGTCTGCATACTTTGTTCCACCCTGGAATTAGAAAACTAAAAAGGTTTTACAGCCACAAATGAAAACTAATAAGTTACTGACATTCAGTAGTATTTTATTTAACCCGTTGATATCCATCCCCTAAATTTGGTCATACAAAAGTACTCTCTAAACATTAGAAATAAAGTCTATAATGTAATGTAATATTAGTGGAAAGCGGTCACCGGTGACCGCTCGGGGATTTATGGGTTAATTATTCTTCTTCACACAGGGATAGATGGATTTAATGTGTTAAGGCAGGCATTCCCAAACATTAGGTTGCAACCCATTGGTGGGTTGCAAGCGATTTTTTAGTGAGTCTTGTCTATAGAAAGGCAAAAAATAGATAAGGCGATTAGTTTTATATCTTCTTTATTTGCAGTGTCACTAATAAGTATGGCAAGTTACCACAAGAAGGTTACCATTTAATATAGAATTACTCTAAGTAGGCACTGCCTCATTGGCCGAGTGGTTGCAAGTGCAACTGCCGGCCAAAGGGACTTGGGTTCAATTCCCGGGTAAGGCAAAGTATCACTGGGTTTTTAAATAAATCTCTCTCTTCTTCTTAGTAGTAGCATGGAGTCTGGAAATATGCCCGGTATGGCAATAGGCTCACCCTCTATTACATGGGACTCATAACATAAATAGTGGAAAGTGGGTGTTACATTTAACAGTGGCATTAAGTGTCGTATTATGCACCTCTGCCTACCCCTTCGGAGACAAAAGGTGTGATGTTATGTATGTATATAAGTCTAAGTAGGCACACTGAACTTATAAAGCCAGTAAACCAATGCATTGTAATGTTTATTTCATACAACATTTTACAAAAGTACATTAAAAGAAACTTATTTCTTTTCTTAGCTTTGTCTGATTAGTTTTGAGTTAGGCACTGAGTCAAATAAATTGTAAAAGAATGGAATAAGATTTTTTTATTTAAAAATTAGTTCACGTATACAATACGATCATGTTTATCTTACCCCTGATCCCAAGGCTATTAGACTACTGATTCTCCTAAGAACGTTAGGCAGACTTCTACCTTCCAACTCCTCAGCATACGTTCCTGTCTCAGGTTTCCCTTCATCATAGTCCTGCTTCTGTTCCTCACTCTGAGGGGCGTCTTTCCCGTCACTTATTGCTTTGTTTGCCATATTATCTATAGCCTCACTAGCAGAAAATAGAGGAAATTTCCATAATTTGTTAAAGAACGTAGAGACACCACTCTGCGATGACTCCGGTTCGTAACGAGGAAATTCCGTGATCTGAGACGTATCATATTTATCCATAATCAAGAGTTTATTGTTAAATATTGAATTGTAAACATTGAATTGTTTTACAAAATCTCCTTTCGTATTATTTTGTGATTATCAATGTCAACATGACATGTCACGGTGACGTTCATTGTTCATTTTTTTGAGATTTTTACCGAATGAAGCAATGAAATCAGCTGATGCAGTGTTGCCATATAATGCTTATCTGGCATCACAGACTAGACTAGATAATTATTATCTTCATCATCATTATCAAGTTAATCATCATAATTTTCAGGATAAATATTAATTGAATTTGAAAACCTACTAGCTGTTTGAATGTATTGCTAGTTGCTATTGCTACATGACAAATGTAAAATGAGAATGACATAATGACTGCCAAACATTTGACAAATCCAAAGAACTGTCAATCCAATCAGTGTCAAATGTACCAAAATCTGAGTTGATTTGATGTGATGATCATTCCGAAATCCAATAATTAAACTTCCTGGTTTTCCTGTTACTATTGTGAAAGAGTTCTTGTGTGAAGAACTTAAGAATTAAAAAAAAACAATGGGTGAAGTATCATTGGAGACAGCGGCGTACGCTAAAATTATATTGCATGCGGCCAAATATCCCCATTGCGCTGTGAACGGCGTTCTTTTAGCGGATGCCACAAAAATCAGAGATGGAGCTAAGAATCAGGACTTAGATATTGTCGACACTATCCCCTTGTTCCACCACAGTCACTATTTGTCACCAATGGCGGAGATCGCGTTGACACAGGTAATATTGATGAATCTAGGTTACTCATTAAGAATTTCCTTAGTACAGCTGTTTTGTATGCACATACCTATGCTACTGGTTGCAGTATGCAGTTGCCTTATTCTTCGATCTATGGAATGTAAACACTGAAGTTCACTAAATTACTTGAAGATTTCTTTGTGACTCTGATTCTGATTAGATTTCCTTAGGGTACAATTTAAGTCAAAGCATTTATTAAAATGAAATCACATACAGGAAACAATAAAATAATTGTATTATCCATTAGTCTCTGTCAATGAAGCTAGGTGCTTTGAACCTTATTGGTAAACTTTTTTTATAGATAGAGACTGTGGCACAAGCAGACAATCGTGTGATAGCTGGCTACTATGCAGCATGTGAGAACTTCAAGGATAATTCTGTTGAAAAGTGTCCGGGACAGAAGATTGCTGAAAAAATTGCAGAGCATTTCCCATCAGCCGTGTTCGTTGTGGTAAGTAAATATTATGTTTTAACCATGGTATGATGGGAGCATATATATATATACCCGAGACACAATGTGTTTTCTATTTCTGTCTCGTATGTCGGCAGATTAGAGGTTAAAACAAAAGAAAATCAAATAGCTATTACAATAATTACAATTAAATAAAAACATATTCTCATGCCTAACATCATGTTTTTTCTATCTTATGCAGGTTGATAACAAGAGGATGATGCAACATTTAGACACTCCTGCCATAAAACTGCATAAGTATGCTGATGGACGGTGGAAGCTTAAAGATGCAAACAAAGTCATGTTCCGTAAGTTATCTCAACCATTTAAAAACAGAAAACTCTTCGTCTATTTATAGTAAGCCAGCTACTACTGTGTGGTTTCATCTGCTATTTATTATAGTTGCAATATAATATAGAATATTCAACAGCCTATTTATTTATTAAATAATCTTGACAAAAGTAGACATTTTAGTACACATTTTTATCCATATTATTTCAACATTTCAGAGACTCCTTATGTTTTGGAAACAGTGTCCCACTTACTGCAGCGTGGTGTCCAAAAGGACCTTGTGGACTTTGACAATTATTTGGATGATTTGTCCCAGGACTGGACCAACCTAGGTATCGAGAAGCTTATTGCCAGCATCAATGCGTCAAACACCATAGACTGTAAGGAGGATGATAAACTGTTCCGATAATGCTTAGGGAATGTCCTATTATATTAGTGAAATATTTTACTGTATTAGTGCAATGTAAACTATATTCAACAAAAATATGGGCTGGCTTGACTTAAAGTGATTCCACAGCTTGACAGGTGTGAGTGAGGTTACCAGTGTAACCCAATCCCTTCTCCCATCTACATCTCCATCATAACTCTAAAAAGTCCACCAATGCATTTATGACTCCATGGGCAGTCCCGTTTGCTTACCATGAGGTGATACATCTACTTGTTTGCTGGCCCTATCCCATAAAATGATCCCAATTTGCTCATTCGTCAGATATGTTTGTACAATTAATTGAAGCTTGATTAGTTTACATTGTGCTGTTACATAAAAAATAATGGAAGTTTTCTATCAAAATGTGGATAGATAGTTATTACTTATTAGACACATTTTTTATAAATTAAAAAATAATGGTTATTGTATATCATAACTTATATGGACGGCTAGTGTTTATCAGGAACTTAAATATGTGAATTTATCTCTGCTTGATCAAACATTGTAATATTAAATTATTTGAAGTATATGCATGCATTATAATAATATGAATGTGTCCTAAAGTGCAATATAATTATGTTTACACAATTTGTATTCCTTTATCCATGTTTCAATTCATTCCTTCTTAGGTATAGTTCTAAGTGAATTGTTATACAATATAAACCTCGGTTTATTACACCATGAAAACCATGTATAAGCTTTTGTATATAAGCGAACACTTTACTACTACTATTGCCATTATAAAAGCATTTATATTTTGTGAAGCTGAAATGTATCTTGTTACTTTAAAATAGTGTATGTCTTGTTGAAGTAATTTCTACACAACTACATTTATCGGGTACGGTTCTAGATTAAATTTCAGTGCGAAAATTATAAATTATTTATGTTATGGTTATTTTATTACTTATGTACGTTGTGTATGGATATTTATTCAATTAAATAAAACTTATGGTGAATATTTATGACTATTTTATTTATTGACTGCTAAAATAGTCTTCGATCAACTTTTTGCACTTGTTCATTCCGCTCAAATCACCAGCTTTGCCTTGAAACTTGCCATTTTTAAATGCACCTTTGCCTTTCAAGAGTTCCGTGATCCTGAAAAAGATATCAAAAACTTATAAAATTGAAAAATGAAATTAGATATAATCATGCAATGAAAATGTTTTACATAATCTTCTTTAAAATTATAGACTGGTATTTGGGGTGTGCCTTACCCAAGCCAGATGTTGTTGAAAATGGTCATTTGAATCTTATAGATAATTAGTTGTGGGGCTTCTGTAATTGTTGCTTACATTTTTAAATTTGTTGCGCTTATATTTTTTTAATCATTTCACAAAAACATTTTCTGCTGGGGTAACGTTACCCCAGCCAGACCGTTTTCTTTCTAATGGGTCATTCACTTCCTAATGACTTAAATCGTATTATCTCATTAATTATCCAATGTACTGAAACTTTACTGATATACAACTGAATTAAACAACTAAATATTGACATAACATTCAGTTCATATATCCAATCCAGTGGTCAAATAACACCGCGCGCATCAAGACCGTGCTCGTGAAGAACTCAATATCATCATGACTTATTAAATACTTACAGGATACTCATGAAACTTCACATACATTTGAAGGCAATTACACGCTTTAAAATAACGTTTAAATTACGTCTTTAGAGCTCTTATTGAGAGTGCTGGGACCAATGGAAGTGTTTTTCTATTTAAAAGAACCTTTAGGCTATGTATTATTTTGGTTTTTTTATTGCAGAACCAATTTAAACTAATACCTAAGAAACCACGTGCAAAATATGATAAGGATCCGCTAAACCATTTCAAAGATCTAGCGAAACCAACAACTTTACCCCAGCAGAATCTCGAATAACTTCGCATCCGATGAAAAAACAATTACAAAATAAGGCACAACATTTACTTCATCTAGACAACCAATTTTATAGCTAGTAATTATTTAAATATTCCCATTAGAAAGACAAAGGTCTAGCTGGGGTAACGTTACCTCAGCAGGAAACGTTTTTGTGAAATAATGATAAAACTATAAGCGCAACAGTGCGCAACAATCACAGAACTAATTATCTATAAGATTCAAATGACCATTACATTTTTCACGTATAATGCACACGTATTTGGGGTACAGACGTTTGGGGTATTTGGGGTACAGAACAGATCAGTCAATTCCAATCCTCATTGGATTTTCAACTTTACAGCTAGACAATAAAGTTGAGAGTCGAATGAAGAGACAGAAAGAAGTCCATTGAACTCCTGCTATCTGTCTGTACAAAAATAAAAAGTAATTACATGTTACTTACTTTGTTCCCAAAGCATTGCAGTGTTCCTCGGGGCCTTGTATAATAATTTGTCCCTCTTTAGGCTTATCAGGTTCCTCCGAAGCAAAGAACAAGAATAGGCCTTCGCCCTCCAAACCCTTGATAACAGCCCTGTTAAACTCTGGAGTAGCCTCCTTCTTAAACATAATCACGTACTTCGGTTTCGGGATTGAATTTTTTACTCTTTCTATTTCAAACTGAGCGAGTTCTTGCAGTACTGTTTGTAAGTTCTTATTGGCTATTTTCAAGTTCTTTTGCAGTTTTTGAACTAAATCTTCGTGTCTGGTTGGTTCGTTTCTGTAATGCGTAAAGTTGGAAACATTATATTTGTAGGACTTTATTCTAGATATTGTTATTTAAGGTTGTGGGAAATAAATGGGTTTTATTATTATTATGTGTGTCTTTATCATTCACGGGACCACAGGGTCCCGGTCATTTGGTAGGCGTACGGGGGGCCGACGCCAACTGCGGAGACGCCCTTTAGACAACTTAAAGCCAAATGTCATTACATTTAGGTTTACACACATTATTATAATTCTTGATTGTATAACAATATTTTTTTTGGTACATCTTTCTTTCATTTATTCGAAAAACCTAACATTTCATTCGAAGTTGGCAACACACGCCTCCCTGTTGTTCGGGTCCTAATGGGCGTAGCGTTATAGGCCTATAGCCATCCTTATTAAATGGACTATCCAACACAAAAACAATATTTGAAGATTACACAAATAATTGTTCGATGCGGGAATCGAAACTATAACACCTAGCCTAGGTCAGTAGTGAAGTTGGTGATGAAACAAAAGAAACTTACTTGAGTAATCCAGTCAAAGCCTTCTCTCTGTCCAGCATCAGTTGAAAGGTTCTAAGAACTCGGTTTCCCACCAAGAACTTCAGGTTAGTTTTACCCTTCTTCCCTGGCTCAATGCCCGTTAACTTTATCGTTTGCAGTTGGCTAAAAAAAAAAAATCAATCATTTCATCTGAAATGTAATTAGTAGCTGTTGTTATTCTAAAACCTGTTTCCAAACCTTTCTTAAATTATCCCTTAAGACTGGTGCCACTTTACAACCTTTACGTGACACCTAAAGGTAAAGGTAAAGTGCTCCATCATGCCAAGTAATTCTTAGTTAAGAAATGGTTTAGGTTAGGAGTAGTTAGCGAATATACTGTACTTTGAAATTTGTATATTTTTGTTGTTTGAAATTTTAATTACATCATCATATCTATCTATAGATGGCGCAAATGTAGAAAAAGGATTATTGTCCAATCACTGTAACTGTCAAATAAAGAACGTCCAATAACTAATCCCTATTGGATGCAAAACGAGACGCTCTCACTAGCGCTATCTGATGAGTAAAAATACAGTACCCACCATTCTGTAGTCTGTACCTTTTTTTTTTTGAGGGGTGAAAATCATCAAATGATTTCTCCCGCTAACGTAACGCAATGTTAGACGAGAGGGTGTGTAACGCAGCGCAACCCAGGCCAGATGTTGTCAAAAATTGTCATTTGAATCTTATAGATAATTAGTTGTACGACTTCTGTAATTGTTAAAGTAAGTCTTTAGAGCCCTTATTGAGAGTGCTGGGACTGGGACCAATTGAAGTGTTTTTATATTTAATGAAATAACCTTTAAGCTATGTATTATTTTGGTTTTTTTATTGCAGAACAAATTTAACAAATTTCTAAGAAGCCATGTACAAAATATGATAAGAATCCGCTTAACCATTTCAAAGATCTAGCAAAACCAAAAACGTTACCCCAGCAGAATCTCGAATAACTTCGCAACCGATGAAAGAACAAATACAAAACAAGGCACAACATTTACTTCATCAAGACAACTAATTTTATAGCTAGTAATTATTCAAATATTCCCATTAGAAAGAAAAAGATGGACGGACGTCACGGATGTCAGGACGGCAACCAGCCGGCTTAGTTTTAAAGTTAAGGTTCGTGAACTATTGCAGAGGGAACAGACAGACGCATCACGTACTTAATTTATCATTTTGGCGATTGTATTTAATTATATGTATTTTTATTCCCAATTTATTTATTCACTTTTATAGTATTGTTATTTAGTAATATTGATAATGTATCTTATGTAATTTACATTGTACCTATATATACGGATATATGTATGTATTTACAGTTATGCATCACATAAACCATTACACCTACTGTTGCACATGTCTGCATCACCCAAGGTTGACTGTTAGAGAATGCCACCCGGCATTAAGTCCGCCATCGTATGTTTGTTATACAGAAGTGTTAATAAATAAATAAATAAAAAGGTCTGGCTGGGGTAACTTTACCCCAACAGGAAATGTTTATGTGAAATAATTAAAAAACTATAAGCGCAACAAATTTAAAAATGTGCGCAAAAATTACAGAATCCGCACAACTAATTATCTATAAGTTTCAAATGACCATTTTCGACAACATCTGGCCTGGGTAACGCACACGGCGAGAGGGAGTGTCAGACTGACTAAAATCACTACCACGTTCTTACTCTTTTAATCTCTACATATTGATATAGTTAAGGTTTAAGGTTCCTAGTTAGGTATTACCTGAGATTAGTAACATGAGTACCGCAGCACATATTCTCGTCTACATTACCGATGCATATGATTCTGATCGTCTCCATACAATCTTTTGGCAGTCCTCGAGTGTGAGCCTTAAAATCAAATAAAGTTATTTTATTGGCTACTTGCAAGTCCATAGTCCAATGTAAGTAATTATAGTGTATAATCAGTTTTCGTAAGTTATGTGTAGTTCCATGTACCTAATAGTGGTGCTCCTATTGTCGTACACAGGGCACAATTCTTGCATCAACTTTATCAACTTTCGTGGTAGTCGCACTTAAATTGAACTCGAATGTGTTATCTACAAGAGGGCAAGTTAGCTGAAAGGAGAATGGCAGGTTTGTATGGAGGTTTGGTACCGCTATAAAATTTTGTATTTGTCATTGTTTTAACCAAGTGAATGATCTGAACGATAGATATTTTTATTATGAAGTTTAGAAAAAAATTACATATTTTTAGAACTTCGGGTTCAAAAGTTATTTCACTTTGAAAATGTGCAGAAGGTACGTAAAGGCGGTATTACACTTGCCATTGCGTATTCGCTTCATTTGTACAAATATTTGTGAACTACGTACAAATGGCGTCCAAATAGTATCTATAAATGTAAAAGCGTGCAAATATACGTATATAGCAAATGAAGACGAATAAACCCTCCACACATGGTCTGTTTTGGCCGTACACAACAAATACGCAATGTCAAGTATAATGCCACCTTTACGCAAAAGTACATTGACAAATGACAGATGACAGTTAATTGAAAAATGTCAATGTTGACTTATTTTTTATTTGGTTGTTTTGTTTACAAACTAAACTCTAAACACTGCTCGCTACTCGTGACTGTTACACTTTGTATTATGAGTAAATTAATTAACTGTTAATTCAGCAAGTATGCTGTAACTATAGAGTTTTACAGAGTATGCTTTACAATCTCTTTCATTTACTAGGTGCCTACGAAAATGCAAATTAATATTGTGAGCGACTGTCATTGGGTAGAAGGCCTACATTTAGCA